GAAAAACCAAAATATAAACCCGGTGAAAGACCAACTCAAGTCCGACCTGATGACAACCTCAAACCTGAAGGTGAATTTTATACTCCGGAAAAACCAAAGTATAAACCAGGTGAAAGACCGACACAAGTTCGACCTGATGATAATCTGAAACTTGAAGGTGAATTTTATGTCCCCGAAAAAACACAATTTAAGCCCGCAGAGAAAACACAACGAGTTATTCGTAAAGATAATTTGAAGACAGAAGGTGAAATGACATTCGTTGAGAGGGAAGAATATCAATATGTTATCAGACCAGAACAAGTAAAACCCACTGATAACTTAAAGCCTGAAGGAAAATTCTATGCACCAGATAAAGTTGATTTTGAACCTGCTGAGAGACCTGTCCAAAAGAAACACAAAGACAATTTACGACCAGAAGGTGAATTCTACACTCCAGAAAAACCAAAATATAAGCCGGGTGAGAGACCAACTCAAGTTCGACCAGATGACAACCTCAAACCTGAAGGCGAGTTCTATGCTCCAGAAAAACCAAAATATAAACCTGGTGAGAGACCAACTCAAGTTCGACCTGATGACAACCTCAAACCTGAAGGTGAATTCTATGCTCCAGAAAAACTAAAATATAAACCAGGTGAAAGACCAACTCAAGTTCGACCAGATGATAATCTTAAACCTGAAGGTGAATTCTATACACCGGAGAAACCAACGTTTAAGCCGGCTGAACGTCCCATTCAAAAGAAACCCGAAGATAATTTGCGGCCAGAGGGTGAGTTTCATAGTCCCGAAAAACCAAAATATAGACCAGGTGAAAGACCAACTCAAGTTCGACCTGATGATAATCTCAAACCTGAAGGCGAGTTTTATACTCCAGAAAAACCAAAATATAAACCTGGAGAAAGACCAACTCAAGTTCGACCAGATGATAATCTTAAACCTGAAGGTGAATTCTATGTTCCAGAAAAAACACAATTCAAGCCCGCAGAGAAAACACAACGAGTTATTCGTAAAGATAATTTGAAGACAGAAGGTGAAATGACATTCGTTGAAAGGGAAGAATATCAATATGTAGTCAGACCAGAACAAGTAAAACCAACTGATAACTTAAAGCCTGAAGGAAAATTCTATGCACCAGATAAAGTTGATTTTGAACCTGCTGAGCGACCTGTCCAAAAGAAACACAAAGACAATTTACGACCAGAAGGTGAATTCTACACTCCAGAAAAACCAAAATATAAGCCGGGTGAGAGACCAACTCAAGTTCGACCAGATGACAACCTCAAACCTGAAGGCGAGTTCTATGCTCCAGAAAAACTAAAATATAAGCCCGGTGAAAGGCCAACACAAGTTCGACCTGATGATAATCTCAAACCTGAAGGTGAGTTCTACTCTCCAGAAAAAGCAAAGTTTAAACCTGCTGAAAAAATACAACGAATTATTCATAAAGATAATTTGAAGACAGAAGGTGAAATGACATTTGTTGAAAGGGATGAATATCAATATGTAGTCAGACCAGAGCAAGTAAAACCAACTGATAACTTAAAGCCTGAAGGGAAATTCTATACACCTGATAAAACTGATTTTAAACCTGCTGAGCGACCGGTCCAGAAAAAACCAGAAGACAACTTGCGACCAGAAGGTGATTTGTTTATACCAGGTAAATCGCAGTACCGACCTGCTGAGAAGACTAAGAAGGTTATTCATAAGGATAATCTACGAACCGAAGGTGAAATGACATTTATCGAGAAAGACGAGTATCAGTTTACTATTCGGCCGAATCAAATTAAACCAAGCGATAATTTAAAACCAGAAGGCGTATTTTATACTCCACAAAAATCTGACTTCAAGCCCGCAGAGCGTCCTATTCCAAAAATACCTGAGGATAATTTACGTCCTGAAGGTCAATTTTATGGCCCTGCAAAGCCGGAATACAAACCTGGAGAGAGGCCAACACCTGTTAAACATGATGATAATTTGAAACCTGAAGGAGATTTTTATGTTCCGGAAAGAACTCAACATAAGCCTGCTGAAAAAGCTCAGCGTGTTATACGAAAGGATAATTTGAAAACAGAAGGTGATATGACTTTCATTGAAAAGGAAAAATATCAGTTCACTGTACGACCAGAACAAGTGATTCCAGCGGATAATTTGAGACCTGAAGGTGAAATTTGTGTTCCTGAAAAGCCGTCATTTAAGCCAGCTACTAAAACTGAAAGAATTATACATAAAGATAATTTGAAAGTTGAGGGTGAAATGATTTTCACCACGAAAGATGAATATATGTTTGTAGAAAAACAGAAGCCAGTAAAGCATACAGACAATTTGAAACCTGAGGGTGAATTTTACTCTCCTACCAAAACAGTATATCGTGCAGCAGACCGTCCCGTTCAAAAGAAACCAAAAGATAATTTAAAATCCGAAGGTAGTTTTTATGTTCCTGAAAAGACTTCATTTAAAACTGCATCAAAATCAGAGCGAATAATTCATAAAGACAATTTGAAAATGGAAGGAGATATGTCTTTTACGCAAAAAGAAAGCTATAAATACGTGAAAAGACCGCAACAAGTAAAACCTACTGATAATTTGAAATCTGAGGGCGAGTTTTACAGTCCAGATAGTACGAAATATGTACCAGCAGAACGACCTCAAGTTAAAAAGCCTGTTGATAACTTAAAAAGTGAGGGTGATTTTTATAGAATAGATGATAAGAAAACAACTAGAAAAATAACTGCAAGTGACAACGTTGTAAAGGATAGAACCGAAAGAATTATTCCAAAAAAACCTACAGACAACTTAAAATTGGAAGGTACCATGGATATGCAAAGGAGAGAAGATTTCAAATCTACAAACACCATTACAAAGACATCTCAAACAGTCTCTAAAATTAAACAAACTCACAATGCTTCTTCGATAAACTTAGGAAGTGATCAATCTATACTTAAGACAACTAACCAAATGAGTTTTGCTTCTGGTAAAAATACAAACGTCACAAATGGAAATACGAAATCTCCAGCGGACGGCTTGATAGTTGTATCTACAAAGAAGGTAACGACTGTTATAGGGAGCCGCAATAAGAAGGAACCGGAAACTGAATTTGTAAAGCGAAATGAAAAGGTAAATATAATCGAAAATACTACAAAATCGACTAACGCGACAAAGACTATTAATATTGAAAATAAGCACAGTGATATTGTGTCAGTAAAGGAAAATCATGTAACACGTGCTAATCAGAGAAGCATAACTGATCAACGTGATAGTTTAGGAACAATAATAGCGAATGTTGCAACACAAAATACTGTTTCCAATAATGAATGCAAAAATGTATCTAATGTCTCAAATATGACACATTTATCCAATGTTTCAAAAGTATCCAATATTTCAAATGTGTCCAATGTTTCAAATGCATCCAATATTTCTTCTTCAAAACAGTACCATCACCGCAAAGGTGAGCTTTCCAGCGAATCGGATATAACTAACTCCATTTTTCATCGTAAGAATGTATCAACTGACTCGAATCAATTTGGTGGTCTATCATCAAATGGAAAAATTCACCGTAAGAGTATTCTAAATTTGCACGAACATTCCATTGGTGGCATTCCAAGCGAAAGAAAAAGTTATAGCAGCATACACAGGCAAAACAAAGAGTTAGATTCTTGTTTATCAACATCTTCGAATGAACGTCAAACTTATAATGTTGCACACAAATCGTATGATGCTAAATCAGCATCTTCGGCATCATCATCAACGATGACTCGTATTATAACTGGCGAATATGCATTACCATCAACCACACGTACAGAACGCATAATTACTCGAAGGAATGGTGGTCAATCTTCTTTTACCCTCGGGTCTGATACGGCAACATCTTCAAGTCTTTACAAAAGCGAATATAAAGGACCTGCTTCAACAACATGTGCTATACACAAAATCCAGCAAGGTGCCTATCAACATACCCGAGATACAAAAGATCATAAGTTCTTCAAAAGTTCTAAATAGTGTCTAAGTCTAAACAATTAACTATAATATATATATAGCCATCGCACGATTTTCTACATTTTTAATATAATATCCTTTCTGTAAATTTCAGAGAATGTAAACTTAATACATGAAACATATAATTACTAACCATTTTTTGAATAATTCTAATAAAAATATTTTTAAATAAATTCACTAAATTTTATGTCTATTCTTTTTTTATTAGTAGTAATATAAGTAGTAGTAGTATCTACTGTACCAAAATCCTATTAAAAAGTTTATAATAAAATAATACAAATTAAATTCATAAACTTTACTTAAGCGTATTTAAACCAATAATGATATGATTCTTTTAACACAATGATAACTGAGGTCTGTCAGGATTTTGACAGACCGTACAACAGGTCGTACAAGGTTTTAAAGCAATTATTTTTCTTGTAATGTTTTCAAGTTACTGATTGTTGTCCATCTTAAGAACTTTTTTATAACTTAGTCTCAAAATTAGTGTTAAGCACTAATTTGTTTATAAAGTATCGGAGTAGGTCTTCTACGTTGCTTCTTTATAAGGAAGCTCTCTTACACTCTATTATTTACAAAAATAATACTCACGACAATTTAATACCAATTATTACTTCCTTTAACGTTTCGACTAGATCTTAAGTATATATAATATTTAGCGGATCCATACTCATATGTATTTTTATTTCTTAACTTTTTCCGAATTTTCATCGTCATATGTTTATAATTCCTGATCTGCATATAAACTGTGGTGCTTTTTGAATATATTAACTTTTTATTTTTGAATATTTATTGTGTACTTCATAACACTTAATAATAGTGAAGCTTATCTATCTTAACTTGCGATAATTTGGGGGTTATTGTTAGAATAACACAATCATCTGACTCATAACATTCAATAGGGTTATGCCGTCTGTAAGATGTGTGATTTAGTCGTTGTCTTCCTGAAGCGCTTTATTTATTCCAGTTTGAATGGGAAACCACTCTGATACTTTATCTGTGTTTTTAATTTCCTGATTATAAACAACGTTGTATTGTATCAAGTTAGAGTCACATTCTAAAGTTATTTAGCTTGTGGAATAACGCTTTTCAGTTTATTGTGCTAGTTTATACACGAACTGTGGTAATACGTATATACGACAGTCTTTTATCTCTTTCTTGAACTTGTATTGATAGACTTTGCAAATTTCGGTGTATAACCTAAATATTTAATTACTCAAAAAATATCAAAATATTCCTGTGAATAACTTGGCAAGGGACGACCTGCGGGTTACCACAAAGGATAAAAAATGATTGCTGTTTCAAAGGCTCCGGGTAAATTTTAGATATATTGCATGGTATAGAACTAAATATGGGTTCTATCTTCATATGGTTATTTGTTTAATTGCGTTAAGAACTTTTAATATGACAAGAACTTGATTTAAAATAGTAGAGAAAGAGGATATTTTCAAATCCGCTTGAATTAAATAATCAAGAAGAATTGACCACAATTGGTTAACGAAGAAGTAGTTGTGTTACATGATAACAATGGTAGGCCCCACAGACATATCTTTAATGACTCGAAACAAATTGACCGCTCTTGATTGGCAAGTTTTGATGCATCCATCGTATGTCCACCGCCCGAAACCTACATCGTTCGACTCCTATTTATTTCGGATTTTCTTTATGGTAAAGAAAGGTTACCATAACTAAACCGCCGCTGTAATGCACTTGGCGAAGTTTTTCATCGAGAAACCACAGTAGTTTAACACCAATAGAATTACGAAGCTACTTGAAAAATTTCAAAAGGTCATCAATAATAATGGCCAACATGAACTCTATTAAATTTAATTGACAATAATGAAAATTTATATTTAAAAATGTACCAGAAAACTTTTTGTGTCACCAATACGTAGTTCTTCATGTAATTATTTTTATATATAGTATGTTGGATTATATTTAATCGAAGGACGCAAAACATTTTTATATAACAAAAATACGGGGTTAATGAGCTTAGGCAAAGGTTAGTTAGTACTTTTAATTTTTTAAATAATAACACTTTCATAAACTTTAAAATCAAAATTACTTTATTTTAATATATATATTTAAACATTAAAAAAACTTTCGATTTTATATGAGTTATTTTGGCTATCTATTGTATTTTAATTATACATTCATACATATTTACTAATATTATATGGATTTTCTTACAATTAAACTTTGGAAGACTTCTTTTCATTTAATTTAAGTAAATATAATTATTATTATTATTGTAACATTTAAATATTAATGCAAATTTATTACAAATTAATTCTTATATACTAATTATTTGGAAGACAATATGTTTTTGGAAGACATTTGTTTCAAAGTTTGTTTTCTTTTTCATATTTTAAAAGGCTGCAATTTAAAAACACCGATTTTATATAGCGATTATAAAATAAATTATTTTAAGATATACTATATATGATATATGGCAAAGCAGAATTATATCTCACATTAATTATATATTTAACATTAATTTTTATAATCAAAATTATTAATTATATTTATTAATTAAACAGAGATCTATATATATGCTCCCGACCTCTTGAGGACTTACGTATATATTGTCTTTATTTTTTGTAGATTTTAGTTTTAAAATGATCGAATAAATTAATCCAATGTTTAGAAATTGCACCCCTTTTTTTCATATTTTACAACAATAGAAACACATTGTGTTTCTTTTAAAATATGTTTCAAATAGCAACAAAAATAATAAGAAATATATAATAAATATTTATATTTAAATATATTGATATATATATGTATATAGTATTCTTTTTAAAATGGAAGACCTATTTCAAACGCATTTATTAAAGCGTTTCCAGAATCGTAAATACCAATTACGCCGAATAAAACCCCCAAACCTATAATGAGGTAGTCTTTTGCAATTTCCTTTTGATCCAAAAGATGTCCTTTGATCTTTAAATGAAAATAACATGGCCAAATAAAACTTAACATAGTACCAGTAAAACTACCAATGAAACCCATTAAAATAGAAAAATGTGGTATGAATATAGCCATCATTATTGTAGATACTATTACACCAACTCTAAAGCCTAAGCCCCATACTTTAAGTCCACCATCGAGATGCCAAATTGTTGGAAATCTTGTTTTTGGTGGACCACGAAAAAAGTTACGTTCTAGTAATTCACAAGCAGCATAATAGGGTAATGGATAGCTAAGAATAGCTTTTATTACCAAAAAGAAGTTAACTAAACCCTTAAAACCTTGTGAATGTAAATTATTTGTAATAACTTGTTGGGTATCATTTTGAAAGGTAAGAAAGCATATATAACCGAAACCTGCTTTAAAAATGGCCGCTGCGATATGTGACCAATCAAGCATCCAATTAAATTTTGAACGATCTATCATATTTCCCTCTAGTGTTGGCAAAAAAATTTGTGATGTATATGAGAAAACTATAACACCAAGTGATATTGGAAAATTTTCCATATCAAGACTCCATCGTACTTTCGACCAACCCCAATCACCGATTTGTAAAATACAATAACCAAGTATTACTGCATTAATGACAATATGTGACATTGTACACCAAAAAGATAATGTGGATACCATTTTGAGTGACTTCAAAAAACCCATAGGCAATAAAAATATGCCTACAAACATCATCCAAGATCTGGAATCAAAAGATCCTTGAGGATAAGTGCCTGCCAACAAATCACCACATACTACAACATACAATATACAGGTCATTAGTAATTCAATTAATTGTGCAATACTAACTGCACGTGCACCTAATTTTGGCCCAAAACATACCTTAGCTATGGCTACATAGCTATCACGTACACGTACCAATTGTCCCGTGCTTGGATCTGGCTCATATAGACATTGTACTAGTACTTTACCCGTGTAGCAACATATATGTGCAATTCCAACCATGGCTATGATTGCCCAATAACCACCGTGGAGTACAGCAAACGGTAATGAAACGATAAACATTCCCTGTATGGCATTCGTAACATTCCAAGCAGCTTGCATTTCATCAATTTTAGAACCACCGCCACCTTCACCTTCGCATACAAAAGAACTTCCATCGGATTTCACACTATCCTGTCTGTAAATAAACAAGAAATAAGTTTTAATTAAAAACAAGATATAAAATAGGCTTAAAGTTTTGGTTTTGTTCAAGCTTAGGTTACACTTGAAATGGAGTTATAGAGTATTTTCAACATAGTAAATCAGTCGGGTCTTATAGCTGCTGTATTCGAATTGCCTTAAAGTAAGATATTCTGACAATGAGCTTTCAATTTTAAATTTTTAAATCAACACTATTACTTTTTTTTTCAAAATATTAAAATAATAAAATCTTTTTTATAACAAAAATGTTAACCATTAATATTGTACAATATCTGTGATATATGTTTGATATATACATTTCAAAGTCTAAACAGCTTTGAGCGATTAAAACTTTGAAGGTATCTCCCTCCAAACCACCAAATTGAAATAAAGAAGATTATGAAATTATTTAATCTATAGTGTTGGAAACGATAATCCGAGCAATAGGTTTAAACCTGACTGGCTCAATATTTTACAAAAGTTTGATACTGCTTGCGTATGTCGACGATATTAATATCGTGACCTAATCCCCCGCGCCGTCAGTGGAACAAATGGATCTTGTGGTCAATGAGGACAAACCAAAGTACTTTCTGGCAACAAACAAATTTCTTAAGCATCCTGAGCCCATATCGTGAGATTCACTATTGACAACGTGTATCGAATTAAATGGAACTATGAACTATATCAGTTATACGGCGACATTGATATAGTTAAGCGCATAAAAATACAGCGGTTTCACTGGCTTAGTCATGTCGTGCGAATGAAAGAAAATACTTCAATTAGAGAGGTGTTTGATTCGGTAGCCGCAGATGGAAAACGCGATAGCTGACGTCTGCTTCTTTGAAGGATTAAGTGGCCAAGTATATGGGGGCGCATACGGTATTACCAATTGGCGACAGCAAGTCATTGATCAGACTGGCTGGCGGAGGCTACTGGACGTGACCCATGATGACTCATGTCTATGATGGCCATGTAAGTAAGTAAATTCTTCGGTTACCTGAGAGTTCAGTACTATTAGTTTGCTTTTGTTTTTATATATAAGTATTAAAATTATTAGTACTGTTGATAGAATGCTCAAAAATAATGTTTGATTATTTTAGAATATAATTAAACAATTTTAGTGATTATTATTGAAACACTGAGTCACATATGTGACTTAGAACTGTGACTATGACTAATATTTAATATATAATTGATTTCATATTGTTATCTTAGAATTAATTTTTCTAAAACAATTTTTTAACGTTATTAATATTTTCAGCACTAGATACGGTACGTTGGTCATGGGTTTTAAAATCAACATTATCACTATGATATATTAGTATATTGAACAATACGGAAATCGCAATTTATTTAAATTGTTTGGTATTTATTTCATAAAAGCAGGATTTTATTTTATAAGAAATATTAATATTAATAATATCAAAATTATGCAACATTTTTTGTTTATGATAATGTCCTTCAGCAATATTATATACGGAAATTTATGTGATTACACTACTTTACTTAGCAAAAATTAATAGATTTTTCATTATTTATTAAAGAACGTTTTGAAGTTTCAATATGCAATTGATTCTTAAATAAAGCCTGGCACTTGCAGTCCAATAAATTATATACGGACTATAAACTAATCAAATAAAAATTCGAATATTTTCTAAGGTATTATTGAGGAGTATTAGGTAATACTCGAAACAGCGTTGTATGGCTGGCCAAATTTCAATAAATCAATTAAATTTTTGTTGTTGCTTCTTTATTACTATTTGAACCCTTCTTAAGTGAGATATGTTGAAGAACTCTTAATAAGATATTTTTATTTAAGAGATTTTTAACGTCGATTCTGATGAAAGAAGCTGAATTCTTAATATAAACTATTGCTAGAGAGATTTTAATTGAACAGCAGTGAAAGTGCAACTACAAAATTTTGCAGATATTTTTATATAATGTGTGAAGGAATTCTGAAGAACTTCTGAAGAACTTCTTTATACGAGTATTATTATTATTATTATTATTATTATTATTATTATTATTAATAATAATAATACGTACAATGATGCATTGTGACTTATAAAAGCCGTATATATATAGTCTTGAAACATTGCTTTGTTAAGATATTTGAACAATATCTCTATTTAACTATATTACTTATATCTTACCGAAATCCATCTGTTTGCTGATATCTGCCATCATATTCATTAACTACGAATGACGTTTGATATTCCTCTGTTTTGTAATCAGCATTGTTGGTATCCATCCATCCATTTGGATTACGAAATGGATTTAACTCCGTACCTCTATCTTGTTTAGTTACTACAAAAAAAAAAATTATATAAATTATTGATTTTTTTAAATCAGTTTTTTTTTATAATTCTTACAATCTGTAGCATTTTCATCATTGGAATTAAACATTTCCCGCGTATGACTGGCGAACTGTTGCTGAGATGTAGTACCTGCTGGCTGTTCGTAGTCCTTTTTCTCTGGCATATGCTGTCGAGCTGTTTGCACGGCAACATTCAATATATTTTTAATAGGTGGAAGAGGAGGTAATGGTGTTGATTTCAATTTAGCTAAGAATGACATGACGGTAACAACAATGAAGACGACGATGACAGTACGAGTTCAATGTTTATAACTGGTGAAGATGGCGGTGATGCGGTGTGAGTTGTTTCTACGTAACTGTAGATATCGATTTTGTAGATGCTTATAAGCAAAAAAAATTTTCACTCTTCTTTTTGATTTGTATTTTCCTCTTATATAAATGAGGATATTATTTTCCACATTTGGTTCAAATTTTTGGCATCTAAATTAAATGAAACGACATTCCAATCAGTTTTTAATGTAAAAATAATAATTATAAATACAAATGAATGCTAAACTACATAACGAGTATGTACGTAAATATTTGTTCACCTTTTTAATCGCACTATATCTCAATTGATTTTTAATATAGTGCGATTTAATATTAAAAACTTAAAACGCTCTTTATTGCACTACTACTTAATATGGAAATAATAAAATCACAGAAAATTTTTAAATTATTTAAAGAATAAATATTTTTTAGCAAACACCAAATGCCAATGGGTTAAAATGAAATGATAAGGATATCTTCAGAGGAATTATTTTGCGCATGTCCTGTAAAATTTGTATGTAAAACATTTTAGTACCAAAGACAGTTGAATTAACTGTCTAAAAGGCAAATGTCAAGTAAGTGCTAAAAATATTTAAAAGTAAACTTTAATATCAATTTTAGATAAATATACTTAGAATTGAAATAAATTAAATTTTAGTTTATAATGTTATTCCAAGGAGAGTAAATTTATTTGTTTAGAACGAAAGTAGGCAGGTGGGTCAAAGGTCGATCCTCCATAATTAGCTAGTAAGCTTTATTAATTTCATATTTCTGATAATTTTAAGTAGTAGATTAAATATTTTAAAACCTGAATTCGCTGAGAAGCACAGTGGCGGAGCTAGACCAACTCTGCACGTCGGCGACATCAGAATAGCGAGGCCCCCTTTATAACCCAGTTGTAAACTTTCAAGTTACATTGTTGAAAATTTTATTGCTAATCAAATTAAAATAAACAAAAATTAAAATAAATGAATTTTCCTACTTTTAGCCTCACTCAATTTTTTTTTCAATTATATCATAATTTGCGCCAGCTGCTATTTTTGCTTCAGTTTATAGAATTTCCAATGGAGATAGTCTCTCTTGGATCATCATACTTTTCTAATACGTCTTAATCAATTTTAACTTTGAAAAGCTTCTTTCCGTCAAAGCTATACTGACTGGAACTGTGAGCATGAATCTGGTTACTATATAAACATTCGGGAATACTTCGAATATGGTCAATGCCATTATCAAACCAAAATGTTAAAAATATTAATTAAGTGCATAGAATCCACAGTCTGTAACTTTTTGCGAGGCCCCTGTGGGTGCGAGGCCGCCGGCGGTCGCCAACATCGCTGGCGCCTAGCGACGCCATTGGAGAAGCGTAAGCATCAATTGATAGATTTCAGTAAGGTATATGTAAAATAATTAAGTGGAGACATTGCTGAACTACTATCTCTTAACAAAGTTTAACATACTTACTAACATTAAAAAGTTTTTATGAAATCAAATAAGGTTTCTAATGTTGCTCCAAGAGATAAATTTATGCTTGTCAATAGCCTTACTCAGGTTAATTTTAGGTTCATGCAAGGTTAACCTCTCCAGTCATTCCATAACAGATCTTATATGACATAGTGTAGCATTAGGGTGGCTCACGTTATAAGGGGGAAAATTAAAAATGAAGTTTTGAATGAGCGCACCCCCTAGGAATA